ATAGTGACAAAATAAATTATATATCAGCAACTACAGTGTTAAAGGGGCAACCTTCCCTCTTTGATGTTTAGAGTTAGAAATTGGAGGAAGTCCTTACCGTAACAATCGGTTGTTGTTTTTTATGGTTTTCAGAATGATTTTAGAAAGTCTGAACACCGAACAAATAACAATGTTGATCCAAACCGTGGTTTGAAATACATATAAATACTTTATATAGATGATCTCAATGCAGATAGATAGTGGACGAACAAATCCAATCTGACCACTTGCAAATAACAGTGTAAAAGGTATGATATGTCAGGAAAAATTCAAATCATATAAAGCCTGTCTAGAGAAAGAAGGTCCTTTAAAAAAATGTATGATAATTGTCTGGGAGATGAGTATTATCTTTTTGAGAAAGGTGATACAAATGCAAGATAGTGAAAAATAAGGAAAGTACTTGCAAAGCCCTTTTTAAACCGTCCATTTGTCTGTATTTTGGTATTACAGTACGATAAGCCAGATTTTAATGTAATGCTTTCTAGTAAAACCTGTTTGGGTAATTCATCTTGCCAATCAACCGTGCCAGGTGCTTTATTCTTGTCATTACTGTATTTTTCACGCTAAAAGTGAACATGGTGTTGCGAGATTATTCCAAAAATATGTAATCCAAGACGTTTTAAATGATTACTCTACTTCTCTTCCTTTTATCCTAGCAGATGCAGAGAGAAAATTCATGCTCAATTGAGTATTACATGAGTCTTGCTCTACGCCATCTATAGTGTCATGTTTTTTTTTTAAGTGGCACATGGCCACGGAGTTGTATGACTGTTCCTGGTTGCCGCGCAGGATCTACGTGACGTCAACAGTATAGGAAAGCGACTCCAGGGCATTTCCTGCTGCGCCGCGGAGGCTGACATATGTCGCAGCAAAGAGCCGTTGCCAGAAGGAACAGAGTGATATGGCTGCAGTTTAGTCATGTGACCAAGGGAACCATACACCACTTCCATCTCTTCTGCTATAATGCCACTCACTGCAACAACAAATAAAGCACAATGCGTAATGTCAATTTGGCTTCAGCCTCTTTTGAGCTAAGTGAATGCAATCTCTTGTTTCTTTTAGATTTTTGGATGCAGTCCAAGTCTATCAATATGCACTCCTCACCTGATTCATTTAAATAACCTTCAGCTACCCATTGGGAATTGTAGTGCAGGTAAACACAGCAGTTTGTGTAGTGGTCCAGTAAAATCTGAGAAGAAGTATTGGTTACGCTGACACAGAAACAGCTGTGGTTTAGAGATAATCACTGCTTTACACTCATCTATCTCCCACTCAGACCAGTTTTAAAGCATCTAAACACTAATCTTCGAGCTGCAAAGCATTCATTTAACTGGACATCGCAAGATTTCAGCGCAACAAATGTGATAACATTTTAGATGGTCAAAAGAGTTGACTGAACTGTAGTGCAGAATGTCTGGATGTGTGTTGGTACAGTGATATGAGTTATTCTGTATGTTTTACCCTTGTGAATGTAATCTCAGCCTTGAGAAGCTAAGCTTCCACTCAATGGTCGTAATCTTCTTTGGGACTGTAGACTATTACTGTGAGCTTCTGTGGACAACACTGCAATAGAGCTTACTGACTGAATGGTTGATACCCATTTACATTTACCCTGGTCATAATCTAACATACATTATCCATAGTATTGTGCACTATGATATTATTCTGTATGTCGTGAGACCATAGAGATTCATCAACCAGGGGAGATTTCAGTATTTCTACAATGTCTCTAATCGTCTCTATTCTAGATTTTAGATTTCTGTATCAACCTGGTAAAGTACTTTGGTTCTTCGCGATCTGTTATGATATAAAAATACATTACATACAGTAATAGAAAATGTAATCGTTTTCGCCCTATGCAACACAGTTTCTATTAGCCAACTGTGAAGAGCCTGCTGGCAACATTATTTGCAAACAAAAATGGTGTGATCCAATGGATGTATAAAAAGAACTGGATACAGCTTCAGAGGCAGGGCCACGTTCATTCCTATCAAAGTTGCTCAGCCACTTCAGAATGTGTTTCAACAGCTGGCGCACTTCCCAGTGGCTTGGTGTGAATGCACATTTAGTGTGAACCAAAACAGAAAAACATGTTTACATATAGTCGATAAATGTGGACGTAGATAGTGAGTCTTTAAAAAAATGCCAAAGTCATTAAATACTATCTCTGGTAGAAAATACCCTGCTGTAATAACAGATAATAAGAGAGGTGGGATGAAACCAAGAAGAAGCTACTTCCAAGTGTGGCCATGTGGAAAGTGTATTCATATATTAGCCTTTAGATGTATTCAGATACAATATAAGACTTGTTAACTCCAAGCCTACAGGGGTCTGCATTTTGCTCCTGAAAATCTACTGGTGAGGAATTCATATTACATTTTGTGTAACCGACTGTGACTGTTTCATCTCTTTCACTACAACCATATGCCTTGCACAGTACCGTACATGCTCTGCACATCGACAGGGCGGTCGTGACTTCAGGCTTTGAGCTGCAGTTGAGCCTTTGGTAATGCCCCAGGCTCATTTGGCCTGCGCTATCAGTCTGCTCTCTGCTAATTGAGCTGTTGAGATCGTAGTTTGCAAGGGCCTTTATTCTGACAGACCCTTGGGCTAGTGAGTATGCACAAAGCATACACAAACACATGCATAAACACAAACACTTGCACGCTCTGACACCCTAGCATCTGTCGCGAGGCAAACTGATTGAAAGGCGTTGCAGAAGCAGGACGAAGAATCAGCACATATAGGAATAACGCAATAACGCTGACAGATTTGCTGTGGGATGGCGAACGGAAAGGGAGAAAATGAGTAGATTTATACGATCTTCTCAAGCTCCTCCGTGACTAACCTGCATAAGAACCTTGCTCCCAGTGTAGATGTATGCAGCCAGCCTGCCTCCACTGCAGACTAATCCATCTTAGTCCGCAGCATGTCCCTTACACTGAGCTGAGACCAATTCCTCGTGAAGACGCTGATAACAGCATTTCATTTTTGTGAATATTACAGTAATCAGTCATTTGGGGGCAAGCGTTTAAAAATAAAAGAAAGCAAAAAATAGTTGCAACATTATGGCATCGCATAACCGCTGGCACAGTTACAATGTAATTATATATTATTTCTGTAGGTTTTGGTGTAATTTGCATTATTTCCGTAAAAAAACAATGCTTGAAAAACCTCCTCACTGTTTGGTGGATGTAAAAAGAGAGGTGTGAGAAAAAACAGCAGTGATTTCTGAACATCTTTCCAGGGGTGTGAGCACAGTACAGTCAGAGGCACAAAGTCAAGGGATTTAACTGTGACGTCTGAAATCATAAGATGCTCATACATCACAAGACCACTGAACTTCTTTCAAGGACAACAAGGAGACAGGCGGAATCAGATCACAAGCCTGTTTGCAGTCTCCGGATACCTGACCCCTTCAATTCTCAGCTATGAAGACCTGGCACTCAAGGTGGAGTGGTTTTTCCCAAGGGAGGGACAGGGTAAGGAGGGGGCCACCTACCTATTAGCCCAAGGGAGGATGAGTCAAAACATATATTTCTACTTTAGATTCAAAGCAAGGGTTATTTTGCATTTTATACATCTAATAACTCTATACCCTCACACCAAAGTCACATTCTACAAATGACTGACCATTTAATTACAGTGTTTGTTTTGCAGAGCAATGCAGCACAAGATGAGGCACAGTAATAGGAATCTGCTAGAGAATCAATAATCTCTGCTGTACATGCACAGTCGCATCAATCCATCATCACTGTCACATTAATCGTGATACCTCTGTATAATTACTTTAAAGAGATGAGGCCATGGTTAAGACGACTGCAAGCCTGGTATGTTATATATTTTAATTCTGCTTTCTATAAATCTACCTTTGCTTATGCGTGACTCATTGCTTATTGGATGTAGTCATTAATTATGGTTTCATTTCCATATTAAGTGTGCAGTTGATGAATAGTCTGTTAATACATTGTTGATAAAAATGTTTTTGGTCAAGATGTTTGGTGATCGGGATCCCGATACGAAGCACGACTACGTATTAAATAATCGACTTGACTCACATGCTGGTGTTGCTTCCGCTAAGATGAAATAGTCCACTCCACTGTGTACCAACGGCTGCAAATGTGGCACCAGCAACTCAACTTAAAATGACTACGTTTTATGTAACTGTCCAAGTTTCTTCACATTTATTTTCCATTAACCAGGCTTTAAATACTGAAGTGCCCATACCATGTTCCCGTTAGTGTTTACTCCCTGTTTGTCTTCTTCTGATGATTTCTCTGATGTACAGAGATCTTTCCTGTTCTTGCACTGTTTTTCTTTTCTTTTCTTTTGGGTAGTGAATTTATAAGCATTGCATTTAATACTTTTTTTATTTAATAAATACTATCCATTGCTTAATATTTAAGAAACATTTACTTATCGTAAAGTTTAGAGATTGGGATATACAGCATATTTGGGTTGCCAGATTAGGAGAAATTCCTTCAATGTGCTCATCTTTATGCCTTGATTAAAGCTAATAGTTGCAGATGCACTGCAAACCTGTTGATGCCTTTTTAAAAAGTAAGAAAACACATCACACAAAACTGTTTAGCTTGTATCTAGCATTTCCAATGAAAGAAAGTCCCTTTGAATAAGCCAACCTACACTTACTACATACTACTAACTACCTGCTACTAACTACCTTGTGGATGAAAGCAAAACTTAGACTCTAGACATTTCAGCAACTACATCAAAATGTGTGATACAGTCTTTGTGTTCAGCATTTTTCCACCAAATACAAATGGTTCGGTAAAGTGCACTGGCCAGGTTTTCTTGCCTTTAATGTACGTTCAAAATGATGCAGAAAGCACTTTTAAAGGGTAACTCGGTACTAAATCACAGCCAAGAAACAGTTTCTGGGTTTTTTCTTTCAGGAATTTTACCAGGAAGATTTGGCAACACCCCAATCCTTGATGTCATTGCGTTTTTTACTTTGAAAACTGATTGTAAAAACTCTTTAATTGAGTCCTACATTGAAGAAAAAACGTATTTAAAAGGTAAAAGCATCACACACCACAAGACATTAAAAAGTATTTTTCCCACCACTTTTGGAAGATAAAACGCCCTCATTCCCCTCTCAAAGTCATTGCATTTCCAGAAAAAAAAGGACATGTAGGGTAGGGCCAGAGCTGGCTAAAGTTATAGTGCCATCCCTCTGAATTTGCAAGTCGTGATGACGGCCAGTGTTTGCGCTGCAAAAGTAAGACGTGTGAGTTTAAGTGATGAATGGGGTCTACAGTCCCTGCAAGAGCAAAATAAAGCAGAATCACTTAACTCCTGTCAAAGCTGCACTACAGACCCTACTGGTTGGGGAACACACTTCTCTATATGCGATTTGTCTGAGCACAAATTATGCGTGTGTTCCTTAGTGTGTATAAAGAGGGTCCTCTAGAGATCCCACTGCATATTATACAAATTCAATTAGGGTGTGGTAATTCTGCTTGTTAGTCAGGAGAAAATTGCATGCAGTTAACTAACCATTAAGGTCTTTCTATGGTTTCCATCTCCCAACAATATTATGTTTTCCCTCTTCCTACAGGGCGAGGGCTCCAACTTCCTGCAACTGGGATCCTCCATCGAGCAGCAGATCAACGGCATGTTCAAGGTGATGGAGGAGTACAACTGGGACAGCTTCGTAGTCATCACCAGCCTCTACCCAGGCTACGAAACCTACGTGGATTATGTTAAATCTTTCACCGACACCAGCTACTTCACATGGGACCTGCAGGACGTGCTTACCTTCGACATGTCTGCTGATGGCATGAACGACCTACGTGCAGGAAGGCTGTTGCAACAGATCGACGCCCAGGTGCTGTTGGTGTACTGCTCCCATGAAGAGGCTCAGTACCTGTTCAGCATGGCGGCAGAGGCCGGACTGGTTGGGCCGGGTTATATCTGGATTATCCCCAGCCTGTCAATGGGGAACCCAGACATGCCCCCGCCTGAAAGCTTCCCTGTGGGGCTCATCAGCATCATCACAGACCGGTGGAGGATGAGCCTGAGGAAGAGGGTGCGGGACGGTGTGGCTATCGTGGTGAAGGGCGTGCAGAGCTTTCAGACACAGAGGGGCTTCGTTCCCGAGGGCCAAAGTGACTGTCACAACCCGGTCAAGCCATCTGATAGTAATGACACTCTGTTCAGGTATTTCTAATTATTCACTATATATGTTATGATATTTTAGTGGGGAGCTGTTTTTTTTATCTGCTCCTGTTGCTGTTGATTCTTGTCCATGTTTATATTTTGTCTTGATAAATTCAAGACTATGTTCTTTTCTACAAAACCAGTCCACTTTTAGTATTAATAGCTTTCAGGAACTGACAATTCAACTCAACACTTCCTGAACGCATGTTTCACATTAAAGCTTTTAGGCAGCTGAGAAGACAACATTAGTCTATTTCTTAGTAAGTCTTTAATCATATAAAAGAGCAGAAAATGTAAAGTTGTACTGACAGTCACTTTGCAGCGATTTAAGAAACAGCCAAGTAGAAGAAATTGGAAATATATTTAATCCAATAGTTCAGTATAAATATAACTAAAATTACAAACACTTTTTAAAATAAAAACACAGACAATGGAAATGTACACTTCCAATTCCTTTCCCCTCTATGTGTTTTATCATTCTTTTAGAAACTGCACGTTTTTTCTGTATTGTTAGTCAACTGCTGGTATTTGATTCATGGCCATTATTTGAATACCACTGTTATTTGGAAGACTCATGCTTCATAGTTTCTGTGGAATAGATCAAAGTATTTACATTTTGTAAATGTTTAAAAGGATGTTTAAAAGGATATTTGACAGCGGGGTTGGACATAAATTCTTTGTAAAGCTCTTCTACATCAAAAAGGCACTAACACAATTGTGATGCTTGTTAAAAAAGGAGTTAGTGGCCTGTGGTGGTTCTCTTGGCAAACTACACTCACATTGAACAAAAATGGCCACTTGAAGTCAGTGGTCATAAATGACAACAGTGAGTTACTGAGTGGAGGATCGTCCCACAGAAACAACTTTGTAGTGGATGGCTATTAATGGTGCTAATGGTGATATACAGTATGAACCCATGTAGCTCTAGGATACTTTCATTTTTCAAATTTAACTCCTGACTACAATGAATATTAAAGTTACTGTAACTAGGCAAGAGTCAAATCCAATACAAATATAATCTTCAGGACTAAAGCTTGTTTAATGACATTATTTAGTCCTTATACCTAGAAAGTAAAATAGGTCTTAGGTCACTGCTCTCCTTAACAATGACTCTTATGAATGGATAGGCTTGGATCATAAAAAACTTTGTTGCTTGAGATTAAGACTTTTGTAAAGAATTAAAAAAAATAATGCAGACAATTGGCAATCTGCAGTCTTTTGGTGACATAGCACTAGAAGTAGTGCCTTTGTTTCTCATAGAGGACAGACATTACTTGTAATGCCCCTTGGAGGTCATATGCTCTTTTTTCTGTCTCTTTCATTGCCTCGATTTACATGTGTAGATTATTATCTGCATAACCTTGATGGGATACAACAGAAGAATGTTGGCTGATGTTTACATTGGGAAAATTATTCTCTTTAAATCCTGATAAATCATGAGGTGTCTTCACCATCATGTCTTTGACTTACATCTGTTGGACCTGGCGAGAAAGAGTTCAGATGTTGTTTATTTATTCATGACTTCCCATCTGTTTGGTGCTGTGAAGCACATTGTATGGCGACTGTCACATTCCCAAACTGTGTCCTCAGCCTCACTGCTATCTATCAGCTCTTGTCCTCAGCACTTAGCGCTCCCCTCTATCCCTTGAAAGCTGGGTGGGTTGGTGTTGATGACGATAAAGGGTGGGGCTTCTCCTTATTTAAATCATGTCCAAAAGAGCCATCTGACGCCATCTGTGCTACGCAATGTAGAGCACTTTTGAGGGAAAATGTTTCAATAAGCAGAGGGAAGAGCCAGAAAAGAAACCAGCATCAGCTTTTAGCTTATATAAACCAAGGTCATACATGGCAATGTGTGTTCAAAGCATGTTGTTGTATGATCCCCAAGGGGATGCTAACATCGTCAGACAGTACTCTTGCATTATGAAACATCACTTTCTCTCTCTGATGTCAGAAGCTTTTTTACTTTTGGAGTCTTCAGAGCCGTAGGGTAGACAACTTTTTCTTTTGTAAACCCAAAACGTCCAGAATGTAGAAACAGTGAACCTTATCTCAGCTTTGATACTGTAAAACTCCCCTTCTGTTAGACTTCCTAAACACAGCAGGCTTGATTTGCGTAGCAGCAGCTCTCGTCTGTAACGTGAAGGTCGGGAAGATAGAACAAAGCGCTTTCCATTAACTTTATAGTTCATAATTTATTCTCTTTCCAGCCAGATCAAACATTACCATCCCCCGCGGTTCTCAGATTTGTCCTCACTTGATTGGAGATTTTTTTTCACACAAGCTTTTGATAATGAGTCAGCACACCTGTTAATGGGATTATTGCAGATTACCAGATTAAATAGGCTTTTCACACAGACAAGAGCTGAAGGCTATTCTCCTCACAGCAGGCTTTCATCACCTCTGCTGGAGTGTCGGCTGAGGTGAGAGAGCCGTGTCGCAGGTCTAATATAACAGGAAGTGAGTGAGGACACAATGGAATCAAAGGAGATCACAGTTTTTGTATCACGGTGCAGAAACTGTCAGGAAACCTTGTGTCTCTGTTATGACAACGACACAGCTTTCTGTACGATGAAAAGGCATTTGTGAATTTATCCAATCAGCCTAAAATGGCTATGACACAAGAGTAACATAGATGCTATTCCCACAACTTGGGAAACATTTAAAACAGTATAAATGCAATATGTATGGCATTTAAATAGAACAAAAAAGTTTTTTTAAATGGTTTTAAATAAAAATGAGACTACACTGTGCCTATGTGAGGCCGCACACGAGCTAAATGCCCACTGTATTGTGATGTTTACATGTTTGCATGAGCTAAACAAAATAAAATCATGGCATCATTATATTACGGTAAAACTATTATAGTCACATTGACCTTGACTATAATCAGTTCATCATTGGATGTTTGTGCCTAATTTGGAAAAATTCCCTAAAATCCTTCCTGATATATCTCTTTCACCAGAATTTCACAGACTGTGAACAACTCTGAACCAAAGTATTAAGTCAATTAAAATGTTGACATGATCATGTCTCTTGATGAAAAGTGAGGACATGAAAAGAGGATTTAAGTTCCTGAGGCGAAAGTCTATATCTTTACCAAAATAAAAAGCAAACCAGAAAATAGTTGTCTAAATATTTCAAAAAGGAACTAAAAAGTCGTGCCGGAAGACAATTCAGGAGTTGATCAAAGTAAAGGGGTTCGTCCTCTGCTGACCATAAAGTTCTGTACAGAATGTTATAGAAATCAATGTTATAGTTTGTACTTCAGTCATACTTCCAATTATAGAGCCAAGACACTTTTGCTGTTATATGATGGTGAGAGGAGCATCTTCTGGGTTTTGGTGTTTAACCGTTCAGATTCAGGACAGTACTCAAATATACAGTATAGTCCATCAAGAAGGAAGTACTGTATAGACGGTGTTTTGATTACAGGAAATTGCATACTGTTGTTTTTTTAAAATGTCAATTATGATCATCTTTCTCTTTGTTTCTCTGTAGGCACATGTTGAATGTAACCTGGGAACACAATGACTTCTCCTTCAACAATAACGGTTACCTAGTGAATCCAGCCATGACAATTATCACTTTGGACAGAGAGAGACAGTGGGACAAGGTGAGCCTTTCACAATATGTTGATAAAATATTATGGTTTCTTTCCTTCAAAGGATCAGTTTTGCACAAAAAAATGTATTTTCTATTTGACTGTTGCTAAACGGTTATGTAACAATAAAGACAAATTGCAGTTTTGTTCGGCAGGTACATTGTTGGTTTCATTGATCTTGCTAAAGGCAGACATTTCATACATCACTGGTCTGTTTGCAAAGACCATTCAGAAGAGTCAGAGCACCATTGATACCCATTAACTATTTAATAAAAGGATAGTTTCCCCACACAAAGTACAACATCACACACACCTCCTACCCTCCATCTCGTTAAAAAGATATTACAAGAAAACCCACGCACACACGTTTATATGTTGCTTCATTGACTTGTCTGGAGATTGATTAATTTAACCGCAGGAGGGCGGATGTGTTGTTGACGTCCTGACTGGAGGGAGTTCACTTCCTCCACTGGTTGTATGGGTGTTCAGTTAAACATCCAAAAATAGTAAATAGCCCCAGGTGCTTCAAAAGCTAATTATGTAATATTTAAAAAAAAATCTTCCCGGGGGAGCATGATCCCGGACCCCCCTAGAGTATGTGAGATCCACTAAAAAAATAAAGCAGGTTCACATGGATAGGATACTAGATACGTTTGCCAGACATTTGGTGTTTTCCTTTTCCTATAGTATGTTTTAAAGGTTTTTGTGGATGTAAATTGTCCGCAAAGGCTAAAATCCCAAAGTTCCCTTCAGAGGGAGTTTCTCTCCCACAAATAAAGCACTTTTTGAACATTAAAGCATGTAAGCATGTGACAGTACAAAATAAAATATGAACCTGAAAATGAGCATAATATTTAATATCTTTAATATTTTCTTTGGAAAAAACAAAAAGGACTAGGTATTTAGAATAATCAAAGTGGTTAAACATGTCACTAAAATAGTATTGTATGATGGTCCATATTGGGCACAATTCAGTACAATGGTTAAACTGTTAGCAATGTAAATCAACGCCTCATGTTAGAGTCGGCTTGGCATAAATTCCAATAGAAAAGCCCTACTGTATAATACTGTTACGAACTTGTAAAGTAATATACTTTATTTCCAAAATGTGTATACAAAAAAAGATCGACACTCTTAACGAGGTGACAAAAAGGCTCAAAAAAGGCACAAAGAAACTGGGGGTGTTTCTCAATCTCGAGTACGCTTGCTTGGTAGCACATGTCTTCCGAGTCACTTGCTTCAGAAGCGAGGCAAGAGTACTTCCTGGCATTCAGAAAACAACGAGTGGAACAGGCTAGCAAGTGTCATATGAGAGGCTCCGCCTTACATTTTCCACTGCAGATTTGGGGAAATTGGTCCGTGCGCAAAACATTGTGGGGATTTTAAGACCGCGGAGTCTACACATGTGCAGCCTCAAAATTTCTCCAAACGAAGTACGCCGGGCTCGGTAGAATTCCAAGTATGCTGGACATTGGAACAGTACTTCGGCGGCACTCAATGACGTAGTATGCTTGAAATAGTGGCTCTGGAGCAGCTTTACTCGCGATTGAGAAACAGCCTGGGGAATTTAAACAAGAGGTAACTGGGCACAGGTGGAAACAATCAGGCTGGCGCTGATGAGAGAGCGGGAGACATACACAAGGGTAGGGAGTCAAGGAGCCTGGAGTGAAACGTAACAGGTGAGTGTCAAAACAAAACAGGAAGTGGGAGACAATACAAAAATGTACAAAACTAAAACACGAAACATGACTAGACTCAACACTTTTGACGGGACACAACAAATACAGATGCTGCATACCATCATATCAATCAGGAAAATATATGTAATATTTTTTTTTCTTTTTCTGCCTACCTGCACTTCTGCAAGATGCAGTGCATAAAACAGCAGCAACTGTGTGGCGTCAAGAATGGAGACAATATTAAATCAATCAATCAAAGAATGAAAGGCAGTAACAGGTTACAGAAGGAAGGTAACAAAGACTGATCACCTTCAAACTAAAGCGTTTGTTCTTCCTTCCTTTTGTATTCCTGTTGAGCTGTTTCTAATAACAACTTTCACTTTTATCTGGGCCTCCTGTCCTGCCGATAGACGTACATGTTGAAGGGCATTGTTCTCCCCTGCGAGCCAGTAGATTAGGGATTTATTTAGCTGTCTTAATATCCTCGTCCTCTGTGCTGTGCTATCAAAGACAAACAGAAGAGTTGGCTCTGGTGGTAAAAGCGTCTCGTCCAATTGTAAGACTTTGAAATGTAAATTGAATCCAGTGACAGTAACATGGATTGGATTGGTCATTTTGCTAACAAAAGATTTACTTATATAGCCAAACGGTTTGAAGTATAAGGCATAAGGGTTTGGTCAAGCAGAAAAACTTTCCATTACTGACAGAGGAGTTCTTGAGTAGCAACTTGAACCCAAATGTGTCCCCTCATTCAACCCCTGATTTTAGCACTCATCTCCATCACGCTGACCTTTACATAAACCTTTAGTGGTAGAATAAAGTATTTTTCTCACCCCTTCAGAGCCTTACATTGTGCTCATTTCAGAAGAATTTTGTGTGAGGTAACACCTTTGCAGTGCTTAACTTTCTGTTGCCTGAGGGCTCTGAGAGCTGTGAGCTGAAAATCAATTCCATCTTTTGATTGCCTCTTTGCCAGCCTTCTTATTGTATGCGTTTACAGGGCAGCCTCTCTTTTACGTTCATGCACCACCAATGTGTAACCGGCCTCAGCCTGACACTTTACAGCCCAATAATTCGCATCACACTCAACTTTTGTATTTATTAAACCTAAATCACCTCAATGGTCTTATCTAATGCAGTTGTTTTGCTATTTCCCAAGTCGTTCAGCTGGTGTTACAACTTCCTCCCGGATTTAAAAGTCAAGGTAACTTGGGAAGATGGAGGTAAAACATGACAGAAAGAGAGTAACGATGGAGTAAAGAAGCCTGGTAGGAAGACAAGGAGTGTTTCTGTCACTGATGTTATTAGGCAGGGTGATATATACGGGACTGAAAAGCAAACATTTTCAGGCTGCCACACGCACAAACACTTAAATTACAGTCCAACTAGCCGGTTATAAACGAAAAATATGAAGTATTTTCCCAATGGATTTCCTCTAATATTACTATGCTACGGAGCCCCCAAAGGTTCATGGAGAAAAAATTAGAGAAAAACACTATTTTGTGCGCACGAGATAGTATTTCGTGCAAACGAGAAAGTATTTCGTTAGTTTCTCTTTCGCACCAGAAAGTTACCGGTGCGCCAAGTAGGAAGTGGAGCACAGAGGAGACAACCGTTTCATTGCAGACTGTTATGTTTATGTGGAGAAATGGCAGTGCATACATTATTTGAGATATATTTCAAACTCGGACTTCATTTAGGGGTATTTTGGCCAGGGGTTTAGAGCTATTTGTTTAAGCACCGGATTCGCAAAACAGAAGAGTCTGTAAACCAGTCTGCTTTGATCTATGAATTCATGTCCGTGACTCTCACAGTATCTGCTGCCCACAGCTGTTTTATAGAAGGAAAACCTCCTTCACTTTATGAAATCTCTGCGGCACCAGTGGCCTGTACTACGAAGCAGGATTTGCTATTTAACTATTCATTCATGAAGTATGCGCTGTCAGCACGCTTCTCCATGTTTGTGATTGGTCAAATGTTGCTAACCCCGTCCCTTTCACGTGAACGCACACTCAGCCGGACAGAGAAACCCTGGTTGATTTACTGAGTTGATAACCAGCTTCTTAGGACCGCTTAGGAAGATCGTGTTTGTTAGGGTTAGTTAAGCCGGGTAACTCAAACATATCCAGGGTCTCTTGAACTGGCTTCGTCGTACAGGGCACTGGAGGCAGTAACGTGTAACTCAGCAGAATCTGAGAAGAGCAGCACCAGCTGCAAAGAGCTGTGCCTTTTATTGTTTACTTCACTGTGTTTCCCTTCATTAGAACAGCTGAATGGAGATCGAGGCTGCTACGTTTAGCCACACACACCTATACACACATATAACTGCCCGATTATTCCCCCTATTACTCGTTTTATGAAGGAGATGCACATGATGTGTGTGTGTGTTTGTGCTCAGCTCCGCTCTGTGTGTGTGTGTTCGGTGTGTTTGTGTGTGTCCGACACCGGCATTTGTTTTCAAATGACCATGAACAGTAATTTACACACATCTGGTGCTACATGGTTTTGTATTCCCAAGTGAAAGACATTTGTTTAATCTCAATCTCGATGTAGTGCTATAGTCCTGCCGGAGTGCACCGGAACGAACAACACTATCATAAACACACGTACGCCCTGGCGACCGGACATATTCTTCATAAAACTAATAATATGGCGTAATAATCGGGCAGTTTGATGTGTTTTACCATAAAAAGTATCTTGTGCGAACGAGAAAGTATATCGTGCGCACAAATTAAAAAAGTGTGGCCTTGTTTTATTTAAATTGAGGCCACGAATTACATCTTGTGCGCACAAATTGATAAAACGTGGCCTCGTTTTATTTTTCTCTCCAGGGCTTAACTTTTCAATATGAAGTGTAAAATATGTTTATTTGGTGAGATCATTACAGTCTGAGCAGGGTCGTGATGTTATTCATCTCGGTATATTTTCCTAGAATTAGAAATTCTGATTGACTGGACTAAAAGCCCATGAGTGGAGCGCTCGACAAACAGCCAGACTGATCAATATGACTGGCAGGAGAGAGGAATAACTAAAAAGTCCACAGAGAGTTGGGATTGCACTCCCCCTCCCTTTCATTTTTATGATTCCGTCATTACAAGCTTTACTGACTGGTGTGATCAGAAAGGATTGTCCCCCGTCCTGCATAAACAGCAGAGATTATGTGGGAGGAAAAACATTTTGTCCAGAATCTTTTTTTGTTGAGCCCTCCAGGAATATCATGACTTTTACAGAAGCACAGCTGAATGTGTGTGAAATAAACAGACTAATGTTTGGCTTTGAGTTAGCTCCCGTTTATACCAACTTACTCACTATCAGAAGTGTAGTGTATTTGATCCATGTACAGAAAATGAAACAAAAAGGGAAACTGCTCTTCTCACCTCTTATTTCTCCTAACTGTGACACATCTATTCCCACATGGTAAACTGTGCAGATTAAGCCTCTTGTCGAGACTATATAGATTACTCTATGGAAGTGACTGATAAAGGGGTTATTGACTAATAACATATTTATATTCTACAGATGATACAAATGTATAGACTTTGTATCCCCAGTAGTAGGAAATAATTAATAAGGCATTTCATAT